CCGGCCGCTATTGTGAACAAATTAGGTGAACTGAGCAAAATTGATATTGGTGCCGAAGTATCCGAAGACAGTGCATCTGTCGAACTTCGTTATCTGTCTAGTTTTTAATTTTTATCGACAATAATAAGTTTTGATAATATGTTTTATTATTAATTAATATAAATAAACATTGTTATTGTCAGTCGAATTACTCTTTCACCTGTCAGTTACTTTGTATATGCATATTCGTGATTTTTACTAGTAATAATTTCCACGAATTTAAATTCTTAGGTATCAGCGCAACCGTCAAATTACATAATTAAGTTTTAATCTATAAATTAATGACAATCAAGTTTTTAATAATTAATACAAAATTTCATATTCGCGCGAACATATTGTATCAATAATAATATATGTATATATATATATAAATTTTTATTTGTATAAATACAATTTTAACCTAGCGACTTAAATTAACGCATTTTCGTCGTTCGTTTTGTCAACTTCAATAACATGTCAAGTTTTATTGCCTGGTGATCTTTCGAAAACGATAAGTTCGAAGCGTCTTTTATTAATTTGAATCAAGCAGTTGCAGAGCATTTGAATTCTAAAAAAGATGGTGCACAAATGCAGAATGATCCAGACACTTCATTTTGCAATCTGGTTATGGCGGAATTAAAACAATTGGATGATGATATAAAACAAGTCAAGAAACAAGAAATCATGAAAATTTTGTGGAGAAAAGAAAACCTGTGAGCGAGATGATTTTTGTGATAAAATAAATAATTTGCATTTATTCGTAGATACATATAATACTCATGTCTTAAGATTGTGTGATATTAACTTTAGTAATAACATATATGTGTACTGGTATATAATAATATTAATAATAATAATATTAAAGAAATTTTGTACTATTTATTTTATATTCACATAATAAATACATATCAGCATTACATTTCACAATATGACACGTATGTAATCAATCGATCAAATGTTTACGTGTAGATAAAGTCTTGATTTTGTCCTCTTGTTACATAATCATGCTGCCAATTGACCATTCCATTTGGAGTCATAAAATAATTGCAAAGAGAGTCTTTAATGTGCGTCGCAAATGCACCATTTTCGTTATTTTCAATAATTTCATCATTGTTTTCAAATTGTAAAATATTACCTTCTTTGTTTCTTAAGAAATTGTGCAAACATACAGTTGCCAAAATATATTTATTGATATTTTCAGGAATCGCAGCGATCGGTCTGTTATATATACCCCACTTTTTTGCCAAAATCCCAAATGTATTTTCTATTATACGCCGGGCTCGCGAAAGTCTATAATTAAATATGTTTTTGCGTTCCCCCAAATACCGTCCAGCATATGGCCGCATCAAATGCTTTCCAATGGGGAATGCTTCATTCCCAATAAAAAAATAAGGCACTTGTATACCGATTCCGCTTAAGCAACTGGTTCCTTCTGGAATATCCAGCATCTCATTCGTCACATTCAAGTAGCTGTTGCCATAAATTCCCGCATCACTGTTTTTCCCCATTGACCCAATATCCACCAAAGTGAATTGATAATTGTGATCACACACAGCCAAAAGTACGATGCTGTATCGTATGTGATAATTAAAGTACAGCGTACCAGAATTAGGGGGGCATTGAGCATCGACATGTTTTCCATCAATTGCCCCCAAGCAATGTAGAAAATTCCATAATGTTCAAAAACCCTCAGCAATTTGTAAATATTCTTCTCTTGAAGGAGTTCGTTGATAGATAGGACCAAGAAGTCTTTCAAATACGTCACACGTCTCTTTAATTATTTTATGTACTGTTGATAAACCAACACGATAGGCAAAAGCAACTGCTGGAACTTTGTCTCCAATCAGAAATCTGTAACATCATTATCAATATTATAATATTAATTGCCAAACTGTTTTTACACATATGTATTGTTAGACTACGAGTAATCCGAACATATACCGCAATGTAAGAGCAACTCTTTGCTCTGGTTCAAGTTCCCGTGGACTTCGTTTTATTAAACTTGGATTAACAATGTCCATCAAGTGCTGGAATGTTGGCAGTGTCATACGTGTATACTTGTGGAACATTTGCTCATCTGTTTTTATCTCCTGAAAAAGATTGTAAAACGCTCCTTGCTGTCTTCTCCTTGTGTTAATTGGTTGTACCCAGACACGCCGACGGCGCGGCGGCGACGATGACGTTCACGGTTTCTACGACGTTGCACCAAAAGTGCTCCTATGTTAACCAGAGCAATTAACAACAAATCGAAATCATCCATTTCTGTGAAAAGACAAATGTAATTCAATCTAATGCAGTCTTCTCGAATTAAAATCACATTCAGAATTGTATGAATTAATTGCAAAAACGTTAAAGAATGGCCAAACAGCGCAAACATCAGATATCAAAATAAGTGAAAAATATTCAATGATACATACAAATAATAAAGTATTATTCGAGAAAATTAACCAAATCAAGAAAATGTTTTAATAATGAATTTTTACACCTAAACTGTATATGAAACTTACCGAAAATTATGAGATGCGTTTATTTTGCAATAAATTACAATTTCTGGTGATCGCCTCGGACTCGACGACGTCTTGCTATCCGTTTTCGGATCTTGCGCCGATTTAGCTTTCGACGCGTCTTGATTCGAGTTTGCTTGCGTCTTGTTAGTCGCGGAGCTCTGAGCCTTCAGAGTAGAAAGCAATTTGGATACTTCTGCACCGATATCAATTTTGCTCAGTTCACCTAATTTGTTCACAATAGCGGCCGGCTGGGGTACGTTGGACACGGATGTCGCAAGCTGGAACTCCTCCTCGATAACGAGAAGTCAAGAGAATGTTTTAATAATAAATTTTTACACCTAAACTGTATATAAAACTTGCCGAAAATTATGAGAAGATGCGTTTATTTTGCAATAAATTACAATTTCTGGTGATCGCCTCGGACTCGACGACGTCTCGCTATCCGTCTTCGGATCTTGCGCCGATTTAGCTTTCGACGCGTCTTGATTCGAGTTTGCTTGCGTCTTGTTAGTCGCGGAACTTTGAGCCTTCAAAGTAGAAAGCAATTTGGATACTTCGGCACACAAAATCAAATTAACCTCAAAACACTATGTTTACGAAACTGAGACAATTTACACTAATAATTATATACGGTCACTGTCAGTTCGTAATTTCATTACGTTGATACTTAAATAATGAGAATACTTACGTGTTAATCAATATAAATCCGTTCTTTGTTCTTGATCACTTTTCTAGAAGGACCGACTACAAGGAGAATGTATGTGCCTATGCCCGTGGCTATGCATTATGTATTTTTATGTAGATTGAAAATCCAGAAGCCATGGGCAGAATACAGAAACCATAGCGCATGCGCTATGATATCTGCCATTTTGCTATAGGCAGATAAAGTAATACCACAGCGCATGCGCTATGGCTTCTGCATTCTGCCTATAGCTCCTGTAATTTTATGTGCTTCCACCTTTATAACTCTCCTCCGCTTTTCTACTTCTATTCCTTGTTCGCTAACACGAAGTCAGCCAATCAAATCGTCTCAGTATTTAATCGTATCATACGCGTATAGTAAATCATCTCAGCTACTGACGCGTATGATATGGCTCATGCAAGTTACGCATACGCATCTTACGCCCCATGTGAAACCAGCCTTACGCCTCCCGTTTACGCACTCTAATAGCACGTGACCTGCCTCGATTGTCGCTCCGCACTTGTGTCCCTCTACCGCTCTTCTCCATTGATCCTCCTATCGGTCTGGCAGCCCCGCCTTTCCCTCCTTATCGACTCAATCGATCTATCGCATCCACCGCTTTCCCCAACTCGCTGCTTCTCTCTATCCTGATCTCTCCCGCGCCGCCGGCATGTTACCTTTCTTCCTTGCCGACTCTGTCTGTCTACCGTCTCGTTCCGCTAACCAGTGCGGCACATTAAGCTTGCTTTTATTCTTTCCAGCTGCTTACGCCTCCACCTCGGTTCGTCAGGATAGTCCTTCCTTCCTCTCCTTTTTCCTCTCTCCTTCTCTACCTTCTCTCACTCTCCGCACCCCCCTTTTCCTGACTCTCTGCCTCGAAACCTCGCCATGTTTCCTAACCTCTCTTTGCTCTGTTTTCTTCACTCGCCAATATCTGTACTATCTTTCCTTCCTTGGCCTCTCCTCCACTTCCTCACACGCCTCTTACACTCCTCTACACGTATCTTCTTCCTTATGCCTCTACCTCCTCTCACACTCTTTTCTTTCTACCCTCTCTTATCCTTCACCTACCGACCTGCTCCCCCGCCGAGGCCTCCGGGGGAACAGGGACCAAAGAGTCTAACATGTACGCGAGTCATTGGGACTTGAGCGAGACACCTAAAGGCGTAATGAAAGTGAAGGTCGGCCCTGGTTGTCGACCGAGGGAGGATGGGCCGCGTCGCGATGCGACTCCGCACTCCCGGGGCGTCTCGTTCTCATCGCGAGAAGAGGCGCACCCAGAGCGTACTCGTTGGGATCCGAAAGATGGTGAACTATGCCTGGTCAGGACGAAGTCAGGGGAAACCCTGATGGAGGTCCGTAGCGATTCTGACGTGCAAATCGATCGTCGGAACTGGGTATAGTCCTATTTATTTGCCTATATATGTATAATCATATATAAATGTAATAATTGTATATAAAATATTTTTATGATTATATATTTAGATGATTATATTTTTCTATGATAATATTTTTATATAATAATATTTTTATATGATATTTTTGATGGCGCAGTGATACGAGGATTCAATAAAGGGACGGACAATATATCGTAAACTGTACTCAAAGGAAGTTTATTCGAGAGAGAGCGTGCGCTGAATATAAAAACGTATATATATATATATATATATATATATATATATATATATATATATGTATATTACACATGTACATATACATATATACATATATATATATTTTTTTTTATTTATATAGCTAAGAAGTATGTATAAATAGCGGCGCACATTTACCGACGCGGTTCGGTCATATTGGCCAATTAGTTCGGCTCTTGTGGGTGACATACAGCGAGGGCGCCACAAACGCTGGCTCCTCTAAAACCATGGGAGATTGTAGCCCCTGGTATAGTCCTCGTAGCTCACGCACGACGCCGCGAATTGCCGTCGGCGATGCCCACTTGACGCAGCAGTAATCTGCTCTACATTCTTTTAGGCAGAATTTGTTACCATTTCTCGCGATTCCTTAACGTCAGTCAGAAATGACCACAGGCGACGTTTCACAACGTTAGCGTTTTACAACGTTTGATAACAAAACGTTGGTTTACGTTGGGAATTACGTATTGAAGTCGCTCGAAAAGTGTGGTGCAGAGTATAACGTCAGGCGAACGTTAAATATCTTAACGTCGGGTAATAAGACTTAAACTGTTTCGAATTTGACGTTGGGAAAGTGATAAAAAAAGCACGTCGTAATTTTAATGTTAAGACAACGTCCAAAAAACGTTAGTAATTATAAGTTACATTTTATAACTTTCTTGGACCGCTTACAACGTTGTGATTAGTAAAAAAGTAGTCCCTAGTCGGAAAGTTAACCGAAAAATGCTGCTTGGGGTATGAACATCTCACGGTTTACCACAGTCGTCGTCTTCGTACATGCAGTCTAACGGTGATCTCTTCTCCGCGAAAATCAATCAATCGACCGTTCTGATTCACGACGCGAAGCGTCAAGTCCGAAATGCTCCGTACGATGATCGGAAGGTAAATGATCTGTGCCGGCGTTTCCGATATCTTATATCCTGGTGGCACGCTCGGTGAAAACTCGTGTATCGTGTGCATGTACTTGTCGTTGCTGTACGCACCCGCTGTCACGTTACACTCTATGCGAATGATGTTTACGTTGATGATATTTAGCGGAACATCCGATTCGTGCCATTGTCACGACTCCAGCACGCGATTCGCTGAAAGTCCCAGCAGCGATCCAATGTTGTTCGGTTTTGTGAAATTTATCCGATAAGCGCACTTAATCTCGCTCTTTATCGTATTGTTATTAGCACGAATAATAATCAATGGGTGCGGTTCATCTTCGTTTGTCGAGACATTATAAGATTGGTCCCATAAAAGAGCGCGTTTCAGATACATGTTTATATCACGCAGTTCGTACGATCCTTCGGGAATGGTAATCTCCTTGTCGTCGTCGTCATAGTAGAATTTATTGTTCGACGAATTTACATTCGGTATCGTGTGATAGGTTTCAAAATCTGTTAGACCGAGCTCGTAATCGCCATCGCTCAAATCCACGGCGGGAAAGTAGCTTACCGCGAGGATGTTGCTCTTGCCGGTGAGCGTAAATGTCAGTGACATGTTTGAATGAATACTGAGATTAAACAGTGTAACGCCGGTCTTTAAATTGATTGTCAACCGACTGTAGAAAACGCAGACACAGTTGTCCGCAATTGCTCTGATCGTATCGCTGATAAGGTGTGCGATTGTACTCTATTACATTGTTCTCTAGATACTGCGCCAATTCTCTCGGTGGTCGAAGATTGCCAAAATTGTCGAAATATATGGCCCGATCTCCCCTCTTTGCGTACGCTAGCCAGTGAGTACCCGATCTCTCAGTATTATCCAAATTCACGATACCGCTCTTGTTTCGACGTATACCGCCGATCGGTAACGAGTCGCGCATGAAAATACCTCTAAAAAATGGAATGCGCATACGTTTTGCCAATTGTTGCAGTTGTACATTGACAGTTACACCCTTGGGGATTTTTAACGTCTCTTCGACGTTTTTTTTCTCGAGACTCCCCGTCCGCGTTTGTACGAAACGAGATAAAGTCCGTGACCTTCCATGGCGCGATTGTGACGTTGCATCTCCTCCAGCTGACGTCGCGCGGCTTTGTTATCATTCACGGCTTTTGCGACTCCCACCGAGAATTTTTAATAACGGCAGGATCGGTAGGATACCGCCGCGTTTCGCTACCGGAAGTATTCGCTTGGTCTTCTTCTTTTTCTTCGTTTTCACACCCATACCGAGTTTCGTTTTAGCCTTCATGGCCGCCCAGACGGCTGTAGCCGCAGCTCTCTCTCCGAGAGTTGAATCGTTCGCGGTGACACGTTTTCGCGCTTTCGCGGCGAGTATATTGTCTGCCACGTGTCGTTTTGCGAGATTGTTGCTACGCGAGTAGGCTATGTCGTGCTCGCGACACGCTGCGTCCAATGGATTAATACCCCGATCACCTCTTGCCAATCGTGTTTCTAAACGAGTTCCCGGACCGCAAAATTGATAGCCGGGGATATGTAATTCGATCGGAAGCGCGTTTATCGCGCGATTCAGCAGACCTCGACCTATCTTCGGCGGCATTCGCCGCAGTTTTTTATCAACGGCGGCGGACCGTCGATGTGCGTTTGCTGACACGGCAAATTATAATGTATTAAACAGCGCCGATATTGCTGAACCTCCGAATCTGCCTTGATATGTTCGGGAAGCTTATTCTACAAATAATCTATGTGATTATAAAACTGTCGCAGTAGAATGACCTTTAGTATATACTTTAACTGCTCGGCGGTTAAATCGTAAATATCGCTGTTATCCGACACGAGCAAAAACATTTTAACGACTGAGCATCTTAGCTCTACGCGCCTCTATAAATAGGCCAGCTTTCTCAATACTGCATTTTATTCGTTGTGGAGGGGAGGTAAAATGCGGTTCGTACGACAATGGCGGACGATCAAAGTGACAAACTTTGACGATAGGATGCCGTTAACAAAAGAGGTACGCAAACATGGAGGCATGCTACCGATTTCTATACGCGGTATCATCTGCGGTCCGTCAAATTGCGGCAAGATAAACGTCTTGATAAGCTTGCTGGAAAGTCTGCACGGTGTACGTTTCGAGAACGTGTATGTGTACTCGAAATTGTTGCTACAACCGAAATATTGGTATTTGGAGAATATACTAACACCGATAGAAAAGACTGGCTACTTTACGTTCTCGAATAACAGTGACGTTATTCCGCCGAGCGAGGCGCTCCCGAATTCTATTTTTATCTTTGATGACGTGGCGTGCGACAAGCAGGATACGATAAGAGAATACTTTGCAATAGGCCGGCACGCGGACGTTGACTCTTTCTATCTTTGTCAGACGTATGCAAAGATACCAAAGCATCTTATACGCGACAACGCGAATTTATTGATTATGTTTAAACAGGATAGTACCAATCTGAAACACATATACAACGTAAACGATCACGTAAACACAGATATGTCTTATGATGATTTCAGTAAATTGTGTCATACGTGTTGGCAACAAAAGTATGGATTCGTGGTGATAGACAAGGACAGCGCGATTTCGAATGGTCGATACAGAAAAGGATTTAACGACTTTGCGATACCGAAACGTGGTTAGTTGTTGTCGACGCGTCGATTGAACAACGTTAGCGTTACAGAAAGAGATCGACACTCTGCTTTGTTTTTTTCTTCGCGATGGCTGCAATCGACGGGAATGAGAATATTCGCAAGCGCGAGAAAATCGTGAAAGATATTGCGAAAACGAGTAATTTAATTCGTAAGAAATTTCGCGCTTTAAAGACCGGTAAGATCAAGAAGGACATTGAGTTGGACACGCATTTTAAACCTCTCATCGGGCCACTTAAAAAGATCATCGACAACTCGAGCTTGACCGCGGTGAAAAAAGAGGAGCCGACAGAGAGCGTCGTGAAAATCGAACCACTATCCGTTCAACAGCGCGGCCCAGCCCATTTTTTCGCTCCGTATTTTTACTACATCGCGAATTCGAGACGAACCGCGGTGAAGAAGGAGAAGCCGACGGAGAGCGTCGCTGACGCGAAAATCGAACCGCTATTCGATCAACAGCGCGGCCCAGCCCATTTTCTCGCTCCGTATTTCTACTACATCGCGAATTCGAGACGAACCGCGGTGAAGAAGGAGAAGCCGACGGAGAGCGTCGTTGACGCGAAAATCGAACCGCTATCCGTTCAACAGCGCGGCCCAGCCCAGTTTCTCACTCCGTATTTCTACTACATCGCGAATTCGAGACGAATTGCGAAGCATCAAAAAAAACATTAGCTTTCGCGACGTGAACATTTTTATTTTTTCATAACAATGAGCAAGAAGAAATGACGCTTGACAATAATCGCTCGTGGGTACCGGAAGTAATGAAAGCGATGACTTTCCATGCGTCGACTGCTTTTATCTCTGTCAGACGTACGCAAGACAAGGACAGCGCGCTTTTGAACGGCCGATACAGAAAAGGATTTAACGACTTTGCGATACCGAAACGTGGTTAGTTGTTGTCGACGCATCGATTGAACAACATTATCGCAACATGGACAGCAGCGAGCAGATTAGAGAGCGCGAGAGGATAGCAAATCAAATTGCAAAAACGAGCAATTCGATTCGCAAAAAGTATCACGCCTTGAAAACTGGTAAAGTGGAGGAAGATATCGCGTTGGAGAGACACGTTAAACCCATCATCGAGCCTCTAAGACAGATTGCCGAAAACACCGTTGGCAAAGAATCTGACGTGTCAAAGATTGAGAATGAAACGGCGTGGGAAGACGAAGAGCCGAAGCTCAAACGACAACGACCAAACGCCTCGTTTAACGACTCCG